AAACTTGGGCAGTTATGGAAGTCATTGATTCTTTCAGCAGTGACTGTATAAGGGGCCTTGAAAAATTTAAGCCAGGAAATCCAACATTTTTTCTACTAAACTGGTCACAAAATAAGTCCATTTATTATGCCATGTCTTCTAAGCAGACTACACTTAAAGCCATTAAAACTAATTTAAAATAGTCTTAGAGACATGGTATCTAACAATAAACACAAAATGTTGGACTTTCAGGAAAAATAATCTCCTTGATTGACAGAGCAGATCCATGCCTAGAGCTAGTCATAATAAGAACATGTGTTTCATACCCATGAAACGTCTGGGCATGGCAGTATACTCTCAGTACCGCGGGTATACAAGCAGGAGGATGCTGGAGCATGTTGGCCACCAAGTCTAGCCATATTGTTAAATTCTAGGTTTAATGCCAGACTCTGTCTCAAAAAATAAGATGGAGAGTAAAGATGCCCAACATTGACTGCAGCCTCCAAAAGCACACTCACATGTGGACATATACATGCTTGCACACATATGAGCATGCATGTGTACAAACACACACACACACACACACACACACACACACACACACACACACACCCACACACACACACACACGCGCACACACACACACACACACACACACACATACACATGTTTACCTGTTGCATTGTCACATTGGCTCAATGCTCCCTTGAGTGAGTCCCTGCCAATGTTCAATTCACTGTCAAGGTAGAATGTCACAAGTGTACATTTTCCATGTACATGAAAATTGTCCTCTGACACTCACGCTCCTTGTCAAGCCTTAAGGATTTCAGGAGAGGATCTACTTGGAGGAAAAGAGGTGTTCTTCTGACCAAGGACCTCAGTCAGTTCATAATTCTCTCCATCTAAGATGTAGTCTTGAGTCCTGTTGTCCCAGAGGCAGGGCATTCATCTTTGGAGTGCACAGGCACGCATGAATACTTGCTTCTCTCACATTTCTAGGGAAGGCTGGGTTGTCTATCATTGGCTTGAACAGGTGGCCAGTCTTTGTAGGAGGAGCTGCCTAAAGAGGTGAGAATATATCACACTCTCTACCAACTCCTCCCCCGGCCCATGTCTCAGGGAGCACCGAGGAAGAGAAGGTAGAGAGATTGGAAGAGGTAGAGAATGGGGAGGACTTGGGAGAAACAGTGTCTTCCAGACACCCAAGTACCATTGCACTCACTAACAGCCTCTGGTCTCCTGTACAAGACCTGCAGATGATGGAGAGGGGTGGGGCAATGAGCTTCCACTCCTAGCTGGGAAGTGACTGACAGTTGATGATGGCTAGGAGAGAGAGAATTCATTTTCCTTAGTGGTTTGGCACCTACTAGGTTGCCCAGGCTTCAATGGATGGTCACACGTGTGTGTATATATAGCCAGCTGTAATTAGATACAGCAAGGTTTTATAAAAGTAAGTAAAATTAGGGAGAGAGTTGGAGGAGCTGGAAGGAATTAGAAGGGGAGAGGGGATGAGTGTGATTGAAATATATTGTATGCATGCATGAAATTCTCAAAGAATAAATTAAAATATTATACTAAAATATATTTTTTTAAAAATCATCCACAGCAACCCTGCCCTATAGGCAAAAACAAAGAGTAGGGCACTCTAGAGGCATGGCTAGACTGTGTAGAGGGCCTGGCCCAGGAACTGCTTAACCCATGGGGTGTGGGAGCCAGCTCAACAGGGAGTGCCTCAGGCATCAAGTATGAGGCAAAGGAACTTGAAACAGATGGTCAGCTATGACTGTCTTTACTGACCAATGTGCCCTCTGTGGCCATGTTATCTTTACAACTTTAAGGGCAGGTGTCAACAAGGCACGCATATATTGTCTCAAACCCCAGTTAAGAATGTACTTCTGTCTCAGAAACCTAGAGTGAGGAGGGTAAAATCTCTTGGTCTTCCCTTTTTTTTTTCCAGAGAAGCCTGGGGAACCCCTTCTGTCCTCTCAAGCCTTTCAGTCCTCTCTCTGCTCTCCTCAAAGAAGGCACTAGTCTGCTTTGTTAGATCCTGGAAAGGAACAGGTCAACTTGTTGACTACTTTTACTTTTTCCTTATTTCTTTTTAAAAGATAACAAAGAAGTAGGGCTGGGGAGATGGCTTCAGGTAGTTGTTTCCCATCCTTCCTTCCCACTGTTGTGACCCTTTAAAACTGTTCCTCATGTTGTGGTGACCTCCCCAACTGTAAAATTATTTTTGTTGCCACTCTGTAACTATAATTTTGCTGTTATAAACCATAATGTAAATATCTGTGCTTTCTGATGGTCTTGGGTGACCCCCGTGAAAAGGTCATTGGACCCCAAAGGGATAGTGATCCACAGGTTGAGGACCGCTGAGTTTGGGTTCCCGACACCCAGATAAAAGCCAGGAAAAGTGGCGTTGCACGAGCACATGCACACGCGCGCGCACACACACGCACACACACACACACACACACACTCAGTGTTAGAAGGGGTTGGGATAAGGCAAGCAGATTCCTGGAGCTCTGTGTCCAGCCAGCCTCAAAATACAAGAGCAGTGATAGAGACGGCACCTGACAGTCAGCCTCCAGCCCCCACATGCAGATGCATATACACACACCCCACCCCCCAGTTAAGAAGGGGTTCCAATGAAAAGGCACCTATGGTACTTCCTCAGCATTCATGGAGACCTGGGTTTGATCCTTACAAAACCAGGTGTGGTGGCACACAAAGGAAATCCCAGTTCTCTTGGGGGGAGGGAAGGCAGGATGATTAAAAGTTCAAGGCTGTCCTAATTAGAGGTAATTAGGCCAGCCTAGGATACATGAGACTCTGTCTTCAAAATTAAAAATAATTTAAAAGACAGATACATGGGGCTAGAGAGATGGTTCGGCAGTTAAAAACCACTTGCTGCTTCTTTAGAGGACCTGAGCTCCATTCCCAGGACCTGCATCAGGAGGCTCACAGCCACTTGTAATCCTCTGAGCACAGGCAGGCATGTGCACATGCCCCTCCCAACCACGTGTACACATACACTTTTAAAAGGCAGCTACAGTATAAGTGGAATTCAGACGAAAGCACATTGTAACCTTCCTCAGCACAGAGTCTATAACGTTGTTGCTGCACTTGAGGTGTCCTGAAAAGCCTCCAGGGCAATGGCTGTGACATTCCTCAGGGGTGAATGCATTTCCATCACTCATTCTGAAACCACATGTTCCTTGTCTTTTCTCTCGCCTCACAATGAGGTCGGAAATAGATGTTCGTCCCCACCTCCTTCAGGGTTATGAATAGCAGCACCTTGAAAAGGCCTGGTGGCAATTGAAAGTGATGCATGCGGTTCAGAAAGGAGGCAGGCATTCAGGAAAACCAGGCAGGAGGCAGGCTGCTAAGTACAGAGCATGACGGGACCCCCTCCATCTCCCACACTGGCAGCCAGGTGCCACACTCAGGGTCAAATGGAGAAGCGAGTGGGTGAGGGCTCCAAGAAGGAGCTGCACCTACCAGGCGAACAGGCTGAAAAGTCCAAAGGCGACCCAGGCATTGGATCAGATTTCTGACCCTATTCTCCGTGTCTTCGTCCATACCCCTTTCCAGGTGGCTGGAAATATCAAATGGTTTTTCTCTACCCTCCTGACTGTGGGACTTCTCATTCAGTCTATCCAACCAAAGGAATTTGCCAGAAGTTGCAGTGGGTCACCTCCAGCTCAAGAACTCAAGGAGCTTTGCACTCCACCTCTTGTCCTTGCCAGGAGAATGACAGGACAGGGATGGGCCTCCGGCTTAAGGCAAGAGTGAGGGACAAGGGCAAGAAAAGATACAACTCACTACCTCACAGTGTCCTGGTCAGTTGGGCTCTGTCTGATCTAAAGACACTCAAATGAGAACTGAAAGATGGCTAGTTTTAGTGTGGGGGTAAGTGGTGTTTTGATGGAAATCTCTTGACTAATACAAACCTTGTTTTCTACATGTGGTTTGTTTGGAGAAAGAGCAGGGAGAGTTGGGAGTAAGGAGGGGACGTGTGAGGTGGTGAGCCTTATCTGAAAATGTGGACAGGCCTCCTGGCTGAGGCAGCAGTAGGACTGATGTTGCTTCCCAATTAGAATATCCCACCTGGGTGTGGAAGGTTCCAGAACAAAAGCTGTATGGCTGCTGTACCTCCTTACACTCTGTGAGGCTGATCAAAACTTCTGTCACTTCAGAGAGCTAGAACATCGCAGGTCCAGAGACAAATGATTTGGGACTACCTTTAGTTCCCTAGTCACTGTGTTTGGCCTTGTGAGACTTGGAGGCAAATAATTTGTGGAATATATGATGACCTTAAACTTGCACTGACCCAAAGGCTGAGCATGCCACAGACCCCATCTGAGGTTGATGGCTGAGACCCCCTGCTTTTCTGTAACACGACTGTATGATGTTCCCACCCATATATTTTTAAATATCCCTTGATTTATAACTTTCATTGTTCCACTACTATGAAAAACCTCATGAAACATTGAAGCATGACATTTGGGGTAACCTGAAGTTGTGTTTCTGGGACCATGGCCACTAATATTTGGCTCTAGAATAAACTCTCCCTTTATTCTCTTTTATACTGACACACCTCTTAACTGGACCTTGACCAAGGTGAGGGAATCGTAGAACATTCTACCTTCCTGGCCACACCGGCCATCACATATGCGTCCAGTTTCAGTGAGGACAGACAAACATTTCAGGTCTCCTCTGCCCACCTGGCATATCAGGCTCAGGCAGGTGTACACGGGCCACATACAAAAAAGGTGTAAACGGTACCAGGCTCTTGGTGGAGGGTGCCAGCTGATGGCTTGCTTATAACTGCATCCCAAACACCTTCTCCCTCCTCCTGGCCCTGTTCTCCCTTTCCTTTTCACAAATCCTCTTCCTCAAAGCTACGCCCCACATGGACCCATTTGCATCCAACTCTCTGAAGCTGTGGGTCCCTCAGCCCGGGCACCCAGCTTACATTCAGTTTCCCAGGGTTGTTACACCTGTGTGTCGGGGGATCTTACCCACGATCATGTGGTTGCAGACATCACAGAAGGTGGGCTTCTTAAAGACATGTTCCTGAAAGGCGTGGACCTTGTTGTTGCTGCCAGGGTGCAGGCCAGGCCTGGAGGCCATAGGTGCAGGGCTTCCAGGGACGGGCATTGGGCTGGGGCCTGGGCTGGGGCCTGGGCTGGGGCCCAGGCTGACCTTGGCCAGCAGGTCTGCTTGCAATTTCACGTCACTGTTGGTTCTCGGGAAGAAGTTGTCAGCACTTTTGCTCCGCAAGCTCTTGGTCTTGAAAGAAAGTGACCGTTTTAGTTTCTGGAGCTGCAATGCAATGACAGGACAACTGCTCTTATGATCAGTCCTGTGACTCCTGTGGCAGGTGCAGCTAACTGCCCTGTGCTGACCCACAGATACCTTAGCCCGGGAGGCTGGGCCAGGCCCCAGAGTGGGTAGTTCAAGGCCTGCAGCTAGCTGAAACGGGACTCAGAGGTCCACCCTGAGCAGAAAGAGGCTCCACCTGCCCTATCCCACCTTCTTCTCACCCTTGCTCCTTGAGTTTCCACCTATGTGCTTTCTAAAGTCCCAGGATACTGGCTTTTTGACCTTTTATCTTTTTGAATTTTCATAGTTGGAAATGAGGTATGAACTCCTGGGTGCAAAGGCTGTGTGTGTAATAGTGTCTTCTCTTTGTCATGACAAGGTCTTTGGTCTTATGATCATAAGCTAACTGTCTTTATGGACAGCATAGTATATGAACAATGTCTCCTTATGACTTGATACTGATCTGGCTAACTGGTCTCCAGGACATAAGTCAGAAGCTCTCTAATCTGCACGTATCTGAAATATGTGGATGAGAAATGTGTGTGTGTGTGTGTGTGTGTGTGTGTGTGTGTTTGTGTGTGTGTTTGTGTGTGTG